GCTACATGCACACACACACACACACACACACACACACACACACACAGCCCCTGCCAATCTTTCTGGGAATCTGTAATATAATATTTTAATATCAATTTGATACTGACTGGATTCAGCCCCCAGCTTAACTGTATCTCTCCATCTTTGAGAGTAGTTGGAGTAAATCACAATATGGCTTTGTTTCCTAAGCAAGAATCTGCAAACCCGTCAGCAGGTGGGGGTGTTCCCTTGACGGTCTGTCTGTGTACAGCTCTCTCAGAGCCCTTCCCCCTGATGGCCTTTTCTTCCTTGTCCATTGTCTGCAACTCTCCTTTCACTAAAGATGCTATAGGGTGATAGTGGCCCTGGTTAATGAATAGCTGTAATGATTTTGCTACTTGAAGAAGGTGGGTAAATGAAATATTACCTGGCTCTTCCCACTCCATTACCCACCTTACATGGCCCTCAGTAGATTCCCCCACCTCCCTCCCAGGGGCCAGTGAACTTTAGTGCAAATAGAAGAGGCTCCCCGCAATTTCAGAATGACTCCAAAAGATAGAGCTGGTTCTGGAGCTGGAATAGACAGAGAGGGCTGGACAGCCTGGTTTGAGTCCAGGTCCAGTCAGTTATCGTTTGTATGAAGTTGGCCACAATGGTTACTTCCTTCATTTCAGATTTCTCATCTTCGGATGGGGCCCTGAGATCAGTCTGTCTTCCATCACAGGCCTCTCTATGGTGAGGATCACCCTAGAGGGCTTTGGGCCAAAGGATAACTTATGGAGCTATGGCATTTGATTCTCACTGCATTTTTCTCTCTCTTATGCCAAGAACGTTCAAGGAAGGATGGGATAAAAAGGATCCTGCAGGCCTGTTCTTTCCTGGCTTTTTCATGCAGCCCTGGGGGAGAGGGAGAGGGAGTGGAGCAGAGGGTGGGCTTCCTAGAACTGGCCAGGGAGGTGACGTAGATACGATGTGCACAGGGAAGTGGTTCTATCCCTGGGATCCGGCCTCTGCAGGGTCTCTAGACTCAGGGGAGAAGCTTTGGCCTCAGACTGGGAAGAGACTGAAGGCACACAGTGGCAGGACCTAAGTACCCACAGGTGGCTCTGGGAGCCAGACCCAAGAATGCCAGCCAGCAGGATGAGGACTTGAAGTCAGACATAAGTGATTTAAAGAAATAACTGTGGCACACGTTTTGCACTCTTAAGTTTGTAGAGTGAGGATTCCACTCTCAGTAGTAAGAACCTAATACAAATGTGAGCTCTTGGATTGTTTCACATGCCTACTAGCTCCTGACTGCAGCCACTCAGGAAATCAGATTTGTAGAACCCCCTTCCCCATCTTGTTACCTTTCACTCACATTTGAGCTTACCAAAGGTCTATCAAGTGTGTAAATTTCTCAGTGGCCTAAGCATGAGTGGGCATCCCTGAGGCTGTGCTGCATTGATGACCCACCGCACAGCATCTGACAACCTCTCGCATCGGCTTCACATGAGGAGCCAGTTAAAACTGCCACTCCTGGGTCCCCCTCAGACCCATGGAAACGGACTCTGAGGCTGGGTGGACAGTGCTGGAACTCTGCATTTCAATAACATCCTCTACGAGAGTTTAATGCTCAAGGAAGTTTCTTACGCTTTGCTCTAGAAGTGAAATGAAGAGACACCATTATATTCCCTGCTGGCGGCTGAGAGAAAAAATTTGTTGTGGGAGTGGTAGTGTGGGCTGCGACCACATGATCAATGACAATTACGATATCAATTCCATTTTATACCATGGACTTAGCTGTTTGGGTTGAACTCCACTTCTGGATATAAACTCAAGAGCAGGGATCAGGTCTCCTGAGAGATCAGCACTAGGGGCCTTTGACAGCCACCTGCAGAACTTCACCGAAGGAACAGGAAGCATCTGCTGCCTGCTCTGTACTGGGCTGATGGTTTGAGAGAGGCATTATCTCTGATCCCCACAAGCTCCTGAGGGCTGTGGCATGGGCACCTCCTCTGACTAGAAAGTGCAGGTGCTGTCTGCTCTCTGTCTGGCAGATACACATAATAGGACAAATTAGTGACCAACTTAAATCAATAGTAAAATGACAATATATTAATAGCAATATCATAATAGAATAAAGACTTGGAGAGCAACCAATCTTCCAGGATCTGAAGGGTGGCATTCACTGTTTGTGAACTTAGCCGAAGGCAGTGCCTCCAGAATTTGGTTAAATTGTGGCAAGAAGGACAGTGTTAGTAGCACGGAATCATTTTCCAAGCAGAACCATTTTAAAGGCTGAAACTGGTCCTTGAGGCTGCATGGAGCCTCCCTTCCTGAGAGATCTTTAGAAATAAGGCTGGTGGCTTTGGAAATAAAGCTGCTGTAACAGTGGCTTTCACAAAGACTTCATGGCCGTTTGGCTGTTGACATAAAGTTTTTGGCTTACCACCATATGAGGCCTTTCTGGAGGTGGCTTCCGGGGTACCCTGGAAGGGTTTTTCAAGGGATCCACACGTGGGAATGACCAGTGCCCAGCTGCTCCAGAGGATATGGTGCAGCCAGGTCTCTATCTGGCAAAGGGCCAGGTACAGGATCAGTCTGGTGGGACATGATGGTCAAGATCTTATTGACAATCTCTAGGCTCTTGCTGTGCCTGTCTCCTAGCTCCCCCTGCCCACTGAGCACACTCTCGTTGGTGGTCCTAATGTGCGTGGAAGGTAGGGGGTTGGGATCCCAGGGAAGCTGGGTGGAGAGCAATGTACTAGCACTGTCTTGCACAGAGTCGGTCTCCAATAAATGTATTTGTTGATGAAAGGCTCTACCACACAGCTGCAGTGTCTCAGCCAAGGCCCTGACAGGTTGCCCAACTCTGGGGGCAGTGAGAAGAGGCTGAGGAAACGCTGATGAATTGGAGCATGTTTGAAACCAGGAAGGTCAAGCTCACCAGCCTCTCTTTTGTGGACTGCAGCTCACCATCCAGCTTTTGACCTTCCCTTGGCTTCCACACTTGCTTTGCTGACATCCTGGGCTGCTTCTCTTTACTCAGTGGCATAGAGGCTCAAGTCCAGCCAGGGAAGCCCATGTAAAGCCACCCCATCTGCTCCAAGGGAAATTTGGGGAGGGTCTTCCCATCACTCTGAGAGGAGGAGTCTTGTCTTCACATTATAGGGGTGACAAGTTGGGCATCATGGCCATTTCACAGCCTTCCTTGGGTCTTCACCATGGTGTGACTTTCTTAGTTTGAAATATATGCCCAGAAAGACGGAGAGGAACATGCACAGACCCTTGCATAGAAGGGTCTAGAATTAATCTGAACAGCATTTGGATGACCTGTCCTCCGGGTGCCTTAGTCCCTGTTCTGGTGCCTGAGTATGGGTAACCGAGAGGGGACCAACTGGCCAAACTTCCCAACACAGCAGCTTCCAAAATGGCCTCTTGGGGCAGGAAGTGAGGACCCAGAGGAGGGAAGCCAGCCCCTCCTGGGCTCTGTATCGATGCTGAACCCAGATGCAAAGGGGTCTACGGCCAGGCTCCCTCACCCCCCTGCCTGGCCGTGGTCCTCAACAACTCAGCCTACTCCCTCCTACCTCCGGGTGGACACCCCCTTTCCTCTCTCCACTTAGGAAACCACCCCCTCAGAGGGCATCCTTGCTGGAGGATCCAGCACTGAGGAGAGCCTGGGCAAATGGGGGCCCTTCCCAAAGAGCCAGGGAAGACCTTGCCCTCCAGCTCTGTGCCCACCTGGCCCAGGAGCTCAGTGGCCCTAAGGAACCCTGTGAACAAGGGACCTTTGGGAGGAGGTAGGGAAGGCAATGGTGAATGGGGTTTTCTTTCTTATTTAAAAAACAGAAAGGAAATGATGTGTTAACATTAGTAAATATAGGCAAGTGTGGAAGGGCATGTCCACTCTCGGAGAAGAGCAGCACTGGGCCGAGGGTCAAAGGTCAGATGAGGTCCTCAGCCTTCTGCACATTGTACTCCTTGTTCTTCTTCACCCGCCAGCTGATGATCAAGAGAAGCAGGGTGCCCAGTGCCTTGTAGCCCACCTGCAGGCCCAGGTACCTGTGGGGCAGGAGGACACAGGACTGGTGAGGGGGCGTGGAAGCTCTGTGACCCTCACCCTGGGGCCACTGCCACCAGGAAGAGCAGTGTCATTCTCACAGCAGCCCATGCAATATGTTGTCACCGCTCAAGTAAGGATCTGTCATCACCCAGGTGGAGACCATTTTTTTCATTCCTTTAATCCACAAGGGTACAAGCCTCCTGGGAAGCGGGTAGGGAGAGGTGTGCAGGACTCCTAACCCAGTGGTCCTCATCTTTGCACTGGCGCCCCCAGAGGCCAAAGGCAACACTGCAGCCCCAGCCAGGCCTGAGGGTCCTGTCCTCCCAAAAGGCCAGAAGGAAAGGGGCACCTTCCTGCTGCCCCCTTGGTCCACCCCTCTCTTGGCCTTCTGTGATACTCTCACATCATTCCCAGACCGCGTTCAGCCCCCTCAAGCCCCTTCTCCCCACCGTTTCTTGTCTGTGTGATGATGACAGCGGGTGAGGTGGATGGAAGGGGTACAGAACTCAGTGGCACTGTAGCTGGGCTCAGACTCCCTGAGGCAGATTGGGCCCACCTGCCCTTGGCTTCTGCCAGGAGCTGTGACTGGACCCCTTCCTTCTGAACAGTGGGTGGTTGGCCTTGCATCATCGGTTCACAGCCACGCCTCCCCCATAGACTCCGGCCATCCCCTTTCCTCTTGACACACTTCATTCTGCTGCTGTCCCTCTTAAGGGCCAATGGCGACTGCAGATTGGGGGCTATCTCAGAGCATCCCCTGAATTTTGTTACTTGGATGGCTCTCTGTGAGCCCTGAAATGCTTGTCACCAGTGGCCCCTGCTACCCATCTATGGCAGCACCCCTCTCATCCCTCGGAAGCCTGACAGTCCCCACAATAGTCACCAGAGCAGATGACTGCCCTTTGCTTGGGCCTGGGGCCTGGCCTCCTCGACACACGATGTGCTGGGTCCTCACCTGTCTCGGAGGGCGTCATTGTCATAGTAAGCACAGGCCCCTCGCCTCCCCGAGCACTGCAAGTTCCACCGGATGCAGGAGTAGTCGATGGTGAGGCCATAGAGAGCTGGAGATGGCAGCCAGGCTGGCATCAACGGGAAAAGAGTTCAGAGAGCTCAGGTCACATGGAGCTGCAGGCAGAGGCATCTGGCAGGGTGAAGAGCCAGCCCCCCAAGGCCTTGCGTGTCACAGGTGTGAGGGCAGCTTTGCCCCGCCCCTGGGAATCACAGTGAGTTTGGGAAGCAATAGCTTTCTGTGAAGCCTGAACTCGTCTTTCACTAGAGCTTAGAAGAGAAAAGGGACCAGGGCCACTTTTCCAGGGCGGAGTGAGTCACAGAGGTTCCCTTGATGCCAGCTTACAGACAATACAGTTCCCATTGACTCCCCGTGTCTCACAGCAGCCTGGAGGGGGGGGAATGTCCTCTTTTTAAGGAGGAAGGTGGGTTTGGAGAGCTCACCGTCAAATAGCCAAAAGGGGTCAGGGCTGGACTTCGAACCCTAGTTTACTAAGGTTCGAATCCCATGTTCTTTAACTACACCAAGCTGCCCTGCTGACTCAGCCAACACCCCTAGAAGAACCCCAACACCCTGGCTGCTCAGAGTTTCTACCCCAGGTACACTAAACTTCCTTGAAGCTGAGCAGTGAGACCTGGTCCAACAGGGGCTATATGCCTTACCGCTCTAAAATATTCTGGAATGGCCCCTGTATTGTTCGCTACGATTCTAGACAATCACTGGACTGGGGAGGGCCTGCTCTGGAATCCACACCCAGGCCAGGCCACCTCAGTCTCAGAATCACTGTGCTGAGAACAGCCTTCCAGACTCTGTTTACGGCCCTGTCAGAAGCTGCTTCCAGAGGAAAGAGGCAATCTTCTGCTTGTGACTCCACCCAGAAGCAGGGAACCTTCCAGAACCAGCCTGTCTCCTCAGGCCCTGTCTCCTCAGGCTCCCTCATCTCCAGGTGACTGGGAGACTGAAGCTGGCCACAACTGACCTCGGATAATGTTCCCTAAATAGAAACAAAGTCCAGAAAATTTTTTGACCAAGTCCCAGTGGGTATATCTAAATTTGCTGGGGTTTATAAATACAAAGTCCTTTATTCTACCCCAGTGGAACTATGTTCTCGGCTGAATGGAATCCCTCCAGGCCTGGCTTTCATAAGATGGTCTCACATTGAGTTATCTGAGTTCAAATGAAAACACAAAGGCAGTGTGTGCTTTGAGCAGCGAGAGGGCGATCTTTCCAGGTGGCGGGAAGAGGTAGGGCAGGGCTCTTTGAGGTTTCAGAGCAAGTCACAGATGAGCTAGAAATGAAAACGAGGAGCTGTGATGACGACAGCTCCTCTGCCACCAGGACAGCATAGATCCTCCTGCTCTGCTTCCTCTGTGTTTGCAATTCAGACCCAGAGGAGCAAGTGGCCCGAGGCTAAGAAATCCCACTGAAGCTGGTTCATTCTTGACATCTGAACACCTCACCTAACATCCGCTGGAGAGGGCCCTGCAAAAGCTTCCGCTCAGCAGGCCCAGGAGGTGATATGTCATCAGAAAGACAATGGAAGACGCGTCAGGGCCAAGTGCAGACCTGGCTCCTGGATAATTATGCACACTGGGCTCTGTAGGAAGTTCAGCCTTTGAGGTCAGAAAGTATCCCTTGATAGTAACTGAAGTCCCTCCACAGCCATTGCCATACTCCCCACTGCAATGCGCAGCCCCTAGGTTCTTAATAAACATGTCCTCAGTTGGATCCAGTCCCTTTACTTCATTTACCTGTCTCTGCAGGGGTTTCCATATAAATGCCTCGTGTTTATCTAGTGCCTAGGGACTGTCCAGTATGAGCAGTCTGAGAAAGAGCCTGCAATGTGCTGGGTGGCCCACGCATGTCCCTATCCCCAGGCCATGCACCCGGGGAGGGCTGCCACGCCTTGTTCCCGAAGCCGGCTCGCCTTCCCGTGTGGGCATTACGGATCATGTGTGTTCACAGCTCCATTCCTCCGCAGGCTCTGGGCCACGTGAGGGCAGGCAGAGTTCCACGTGGAGAAATGTTTGCTGAATGGTGGTAAGAGGAGTAAATTTTATAAAATGGGAGGGAAGCCAGGGCTAGGCTCAGCTGTCATTCTGGCTGAGACAGGAATGCAAGGTTTTGCTCTTATAGGAAGTTCTTGGACAGAGATGAAAACTCCTTGCCTTTGAGTCTCTATTAGGTATCCTCAGCTGTGTCTGCTTTTCATTTTTCTTATATAATTTAGTTTGGAATTGGCACCACAGATGGAATCTCTTCTAACCACAAGTAATGGAGAAACTGCCCATATAAGATTTGGGCATTTAGTGTTGTCTTGATTATTCACAGATTCTCTTTACAACAGAGATGAGAGAGGGCTTTCCCCATCCCTGCCCTGAACCCTGTCACCCGCAGATGTCCTGGGGCCACTCCTCAGGAAGGGAGCATCTCAGACACTTACCCAGCAGGCGCATTAGCAAGAACTGTACCCCAATGGCAAATGACTTTTCTTCCTGGTTCACCACACTGCAGAGGAAAACAGGAAATCAGCAGCAGGAGGACTCAGGGCTGTGCCTTCCCTCAGTTAGGGGCAGCCAGGCTTAGTCAGAACCTGCCCTCACACCACCTGACGAGCCACCTGGCTGACTGGATTCACCTCAGACGAGCACTTCTGTCGTTTATATCAGTGATTCTCAAAGCATGATTGCTGGACCAGCAGCATAAGCATCCACTTGGAACTTCATAGAAATGCAGATTCTCAGGCCTCATCTCAGACTTAAGAATCAGGTATGCTGGGGGTGGGGCTCAGCAATCTGTGTTGTAAGAAGCCTTCCAGGAGATCCTCAAGTTTGAGAACTACTGGGCTCTGTGATTTTCAGGGCTGCTCAGAGTCCCCTTCAAGAGGCAGTGGCCAAAGAGGCTGGGAGAAGAGAGAAGGATGCTGAAGGGCATGTTTATAGCAGCAGGTCTGAACAACGCCCACGGAGTGTTTTATAACAATAAAAGGCAGCCCCAATGCAAAGTGTGATTAGGGCCCCTGGGCTGTATGCTTCCGTATGCAACTAAAAGGATCCTCTACCTAGGGCCAGCTTTGTGGGCATGCGACCTGCGCACTCTCACAGGGCCCCACCCTCAGAAAGGCCCCACGTTTGGTTTGATGCTCTGCCATGACTGTCTTGAAAATCTTAATAGTTTTGGAACTGGGAGCCCTGCATTTTCATTATGCACTGGATCTTGCAGATTATGCAGCCAGCCCTGCCTCTGCTCTTCTTCCCGCAAGTGGGGAACAGTGTTTGGCCGAGGAAGAAGATTCAGAGAGACAGGAGGTGGTATCACCAGGCCCCGCCATCCCAGCAGGCCATGGGACTACTCCCCCAAATACAAGGCGGGGAGCCAGGAGCTGGTTAGTTAGAGGCACCAGGCTTCTCTGCTCTCTGAGGACACACACTCCTGGGGGGGTG